TTTGGTAAGGTGGAGGGTCAGAGAAAAAGAGGAAGACCCCCAGCGAGATGGATTGGCCAAGTGGCAGCATCGATGGACTCAAGCGTGGCAACAATTGTGAGTTTGGCCCAGGATCGGGCAGTGTTTTGTTCTGCTGTGCATAAGGTCGCTATGGGTCGGTGCCAACTCGATGGCACCTAACAACAACAATAACCTGAAGAATGTACTACACCATCTTGGAATAAGTGTGGTCAGAATGGTCCTTGGGAACAAGGATGGTTAGACTTTGTCTCATTCAGTTTGGATATGTGATCAGAAGGGACTATTCCCTAGAAAAGGACATTGTGCTTGGTAAAGTAAAAGGTCAGTGATAAAATTAGAAGACCCTCAAGGAAATAGATTAACACAGTGAGCTACAACAACACACTAAAACATAGGAATAATTGTGAGGATGAATCAGAAGTGGACAGTGTTTCATTCTGTTGTACTGGGGTTGCTATGAGTCATAACTAACTCAACAGAACCTAACAATAACAACTAGGGAATGTGAACCAGGGTATTAGAAGATTTAAAATTTTTGCATTATATCTGTACCATTTGAACGTATATGCAAAAAGGATTTTAAAACTAAACTTTAAAAGCTTAGCTACGAATGGTATCATCTATTTCCTATCATGTCCTGCAGGTATCTTGGCCATCCTCATACCCCGCCTGGACCTGGTCCTCTCCCTGGTGGGCTCCGTGAGCGGCAGCGCCCTGGCCCTCATCATCCCGCCCCTCCTGGAGATCACCACCTACTACTCAGAGGGCATGAGCCCCCTCACCATCGCCAAGGACGCCCTCATTAGCATCCTGGGCTTCGTGGGCTTCGTGGCAGGGACCTACCAGACCATCCATGATCTGACTGAGCCAAAACCCTCTCTCACCTTCCCCAACTCCACCACGAATATTTAGTGAGAACAACACTACTGCCCTGTATAGGATTTCTGAGGGACGCTTGGTGAGTTTGAACTACCAACCTTGAGATTCAAATGACTTTCCAGTGCTTACCCTAGAGTGACACATCAGGACTCCTTTAATGACTTAGATCCCTTTTATATACATCGTCTTTATTTTGTTACTCTGCCTTTCTCTGGAGTCCTGGTATGATGCTGTGGGATAAGCACAGGACTGCCGATCACAAGGTCAGCAGCTCAAACCCACCAATCACTCCTTGGAAGTCCTACAGAGGGTTGCTATGAGTTGGAAGCAACACTTAACAACAACAACTACTTTTTCTCCGGGTCAAGTCATAGGGAAAACAAACAGGGACTCACCAGCTTCAAGGTATAAATGTAATTTAATTTTGTTCTTGCTTTTTTTCTTTTCATCTGTAGTATTTTACTACCTTGAGAGCTCTCCCATGGAAAGCTCTTTGTTCTCTCCAGCATTTTTGGCAATTCAAATAGTGAGTTTTACTTCTTGTGTGGAACAATGCAAGAAGAAGTCTCTAGGAGGTATCCAAGTGTCAACAAGAGGTGACTCCAGCTAAAACTTACTGGGTTTTGATGGTCAAAGGGTTTTCTCTCTTTCATCTGTTCAAAGAACAAAGACTAGGGGTGGGGGCAGACTCTATAACTTAATGAGATGTACACACAGCTTCAGTATCAAGATAGCTAGAACCAAGAACTCCAGTGTGAGCCCTGGCTCTCTGACAGACAGGAAGAAACCATCGTATTTAAGGACAATAAACTTTCCATGTTAATGAATGGTATGGTATCTTGGCCCAGTTCAAAACTCCCAACAAGAGACAGGAAGCATGAAAGTAGATGTATGTATAGGGAAGTTGGTGAACTGACATTATTGGAATACATTTTATCTCTAAATTCTTGTCAGAAGCACCTCACTGTGGGCCAAGCATGGTGCAAGACTCTGTGGTACACTGCAGATATGACCACAGATTTCCCTTGACAATGACCTTGCAGCTTCTCCTATCAGGAGGTGAAGCTCGTAGCTCCACCCCTTGAGTAGACTAATCTATTGACTTGCTTTGGTCAATAGGACATTAGTAAATGTGAGGCAACCAGAGGTTTGGAAACAACTTGTAGATAAGGGTGTACATCAATTGCTGTTCTCTACCCCAAATGCAAACCCAGCTCTGTGGTTGGGAGTCAAGCCAGTGTGACGTGGGAGCTGGCTGCACCACTTTGGTGTGCCATTTTGGTACCTAAATTCAAATGGGCTCAGCTCCAGACCTATAAAACCTGCAGAGCCACCAAATCAGCATTTAACCAGTCACCCTGTCCCCAGCTTCCTAACAGATACTGAAACTAGCTCTATCAAGGGTCTCCAGTAACTACTTCTAGATTGAGTGCCCTGAACATAGATAATATGGAGACCAATAGGAACTCCATCTAAGACCAGGAACTCTGCTGTCATATCCCTTCCAAAACCACCTTGTGAGCTCCTTGAATTGCAGAAGCCCCCAGAAATTTCTCTCTTCTTGATCCAACAATTGCATTGTTTGTTTTTACAAATACCACAATATCACAATGCCCCAGAGACAAAAAACAATTTTAGCTCACATGAAGAAGCAAGTGAGAATGGGCCAAACAAATGATGCAGAGTGAGAAGATATTTTTGAGGAAGAAAAGGTAAGAGAACTATCTGAAAAATAATTCAAAGGATTAATTAATTAAAGGATAGATAGAAAGATCAAGTAAAGCAAGAAGAACACAATAAAAACTTTAGAAGAATTCAGGAAAACACTACAAGAACAAATAAACAAAATAAATGCAAATTTTGAAACAATACAAAACCTGCAATTAGAAATCCAGAAGATTAATACTAAGAACTCAGAAATGGACAATGTTTTGAAAGGGCAAAGGTGAAGCCTGGATTAGTGAGCTTGAAGAGAAATCTTTCAATACTATTGTGCTAGAAGAACAATCAGAAAAATAATGAAAAAAAATTCTAAGAAAGCCTAATAATTATGTGTAACTCTATGAAAAGGAAAAACTTACACGTGATCAGAATTCCAGAACAGGAAGAGACAAAAAAAGCTCATAAAGAATACAGTCCAAGAGTTGTTGGAAGAAAACTTCCCTAACATCATGAAAGATGAGACTATAACCATACAAGAAGCTAAACAAACCTCAAACATGATAGATTCCAAAAGAAAATCGCCAAGACATATCATAATCACACTACCCAAAATCAAAGACAAGGAAAGAATCCTGATAGCAGCTCAGGAAAAACAAGAAAACAAAGGAGAACCAATAAGACTAAGCTCTGATTTCTCAGCAAAGTCCATGCAGGCAAGAAGACAATGGTATGACATTTACAAAACACTGAAAGAAAAAGATTGCCAACCAAGCAAAAGCTGTCCCTCAAATTAGATGGTGAAAATAGAATGTTTCCTGATACACAGAAATTAAAGGAATTTGTAATGACCAGATTGATGTTTCAAAAAGTGCTAAAAAGTGTTCTTCGTCTGAGAACAAACAACAGCAGACAATACTCTTGGCAACAGCACCCAGAACTAAATCCAGATTTAAAGTAAAACACACCTACAAGACTGAAAATAGGGATATCAATGACTAATGAAGTCAACTACAAAGCAACAAAGGAAATAGTGTAGATACAGAACTTCCAAATGGCAAGGAAGTCATGTTGATTTCAAGATAAAACAGACTGTTAGAAGCAGGGAAATTTTAAATAAATAACAGGATAGCCTCAAAGAAAAATAATAGATCAACACATGTAAATTTTAAAAAGAAGAAAACTAGAAAGATTTAGTAAACATTAACACAACCGAAATGAAAATGAAGAGAAAACCCACAAACAAAATGAACTCGGCACAGAACACTATGTGGAGCAAAGAATCCAACAGCATCACAAAAAACACACAGAGAACAATTACAACAATAAATTCATACCTATTGATAATTACACTGAATGTAAATGGATTGAATATACCAATCAAGAGAAATCAAGAGAAGAATAGATAAGAAAACGGGATCCTTCTTCAATACGCTGTCTACAAAAGACATAACAAAAAGATAAATACCCATCAACTTAAGAATGATTAAACATGTGACCACATAAGGGGAAATGAGAGAAAAACAACAATGAAGCTGCTAGCTAAGTCCTACTACATTCAATAGACTCTTGTGAACCCAGGTGGCTATCTGGTTGGCCACTAGTACGGCAAGACCTGGGAACTCCTGGGCCCAGAGTCAGTGACATAGCCACAGAGGACTAGAGTGGAAAGTCAAGCGTCTAGCTGATAAGAAGAGAGGGCATATGCACGAGAACACCCACACTTGTAGATAATACCCACTTGACCTGACTTCAATGGCTGGATGATCAGAACTCAACTAGAAGAAGAAAGAAGAGAGAAAAAAAGTAATCTGATAGAATTTTATGAACTTGACTACACCTATGGATGCAGTAGGTCAAAAGACGGAACAAATCTTTACAGTGAGGATCACTCCCACCCCCTTAATACACAGGGTAGACAGGGATGGGCAACTTGGACATTGGCTACTCAAAATGGGGGAGAGGGGATGCACTACAAAGGCAAGAAGTGACTGGCTTACAAGTTTTCAAAAGGGACCCTAAATCCAGAGGGCATGGAGGAAAGTATAATCTCCACTAAGTAGTATCCAATCTGTCTGGGAGGGGCTGATGAAAGGATATGGGCACAGCACTCATGTGGCACAATAGTGAATAATTGTTATCAGGACTGACTGTGAGGGTTGGAAATGTAAAGGTAGACGTTTTGTAGCAAAAGGAGGGGAATGGTTGCCTTTGCAGTCCAGGAGCAGAGGGCCCTGGGACCATCAAGGGAGAAGAGTGTAGTGCGGGACCCTACCCAGAGAAACAGTGACTCCAGAGATGGTGACAGAGATGATGATGTGGAGAGATGGAGTAGCTGGGGATTCTAGACCCAGAGAGGGAGAGGGGCTGTGTGCTGACGACAGAGAGGCAGGCTTGTGGGGTATAACCTTTGGTTGTTAGATGATGCATGAAGGGGATTGTAACCATGGCAATGAAATTATATACAATAGAATGAATGTAAAGCTAATGTTTTGCCATGTAATAATCACATAACTCACAATAAAACATTGAAAAAAAAAAGAATGATTAAACAAACTTTGGTACAAACAAAATGGAACACTACAAAATGTTGAAGAATAATGATAAATCTGTGGGACACCTCAAAACATGGTTGAACTTGGAGGACATTATGCTGAGTAAATTAGTCAATCACAAAAAGATAAACATCATATAACACCAATGTTGTAAAAAGTTTTAAAAAATGTGTTCTTGATAAAATAATAATTTATGATGGCTTTGGTGGGGGAAAGGGAGAATTTATGAACTAGAGGGTAGACATATGTTAACATGTGTGACAAAGCCGGCAATATACAAGAGGAAAGTTGAAGGTAGCAGTAGACATGGAGAATAATGCACTAGTTAGAGGCAAATGCTGGTAACTATTGGCACATGGAAGGGATTGCAACCATGTAGTGAAGAAAAGGACATCATTTGTTGAATGTAGAACTGATGATCTGCTCTGTAAACCTTCACTCAATTCACAATAAAAAGTTAAAAAACAAAAGATTTAAACATGTAATTAGTATTTTAAAAAAACCTTATAGGACCCAGCAATTTTACTCCTAGATAGATGCCCCAAAGACTTGAAAGCAGGGACTCAAACAGATATTTTCATTGTTCATTGCAGGGTTCATTGTAGCACTATTCACAATAGCAAAAGGTGGAAGCAATGCAAGTGTCCATCAATAGATGAATGGATAAACAGAATGGAATATGAGAACATTTCCTAAAATTTGTGGAAGAATGGAATTAAAAGATGATGGAATTTTCCCACAAACTTTTCGACATTCCTTTGTATATGCACACAACAGAATATCATTCAGGCATGAAAAGGAATGGAGTACTGATTTGTG